TGACCCATCTGCCCACAGGAGGACAGGGAACCTGGTGATTGAGCAGGCTGCACTCCAGCCTGGACCCACCCCCTCTCAGAAACCTGGCAAATCCTGGGGCTTGGGGCTAGAGATGATTGAGTCTGAGAACTTGCTCTGTCAGGCCAGAAGCCTCTCTGAAAGCTTCAGAAACCTGCTCTCCACCCAAAGGTTAAAATCCAACACCAGGGAGGCAGACTCCTAGATTTGAGCAAAGGGGAGGCCAGGCTCAGAGAAACGATGTTTTCCCCAAGGTCATCGGCTGATGCCTAAATCACCTCAGATCCCTTGATGGCAAGAGAACAACTGTGCCCTTTTTAAACATATGTATTACTATTTCAGATGCAGAGCTCAAAGGCAATACTTGGGACAACTGGCTGTTCTTCAGCCCTCACTTTGAGTGGTCTGCCCATAAGCACAAGTTAAAAGTACCTTCTTCAGGGAAACAGGTGACAAGAGACACCAGCCTACACCCAGGGGTTCATAAAGCCACAGGGGAAACATGAAGCACTAATTTGATTCAATAGGAAATCTTTACATTAAGAAAAAAAATCAAAGGCAATATTATGGAGCAAAATATAAACTTGACATGATATTTTAAGATTTAAAAGAGATATCAAAGATCCCTCTCCCACAGCGGTAGTTTGGAAGCCATTCTCTGAGCCCTACTCTCCACCAGCAGGGAGTGGGCAGTCACAGGGGCTTGAGATGGCCTGGGAGCACCACAGCCATGCTCTGCAGTAGGAGGAATAGCACACAGGGACTGCCTCTCCATTGCCAGCAAACTTCCACATAAGGTTTCTGGGGCGGTGCCTGTGGCTCAAGGAGTAGAGCTTTGGTCCCCATATACTGGAGGTTGTGGGTTCAAACCTGGCCCCAGCCAGAAACTGCAAAAAAGAGAAAGGTTTCTGCTTGCAAGGCCCTGCTACATACCTGGCTTCTGGACAGACAGGTTTAGGAACAACCACAGCAAACACTCCATACACCTTTCTTGCCAGTCCTAGGAGTCTTGCCCGTCTCCTGGGTTATTGCAGTGGAGATCTGACTGTCACTTTTCTGGGTTTGCCCACACCCAGGTCCTGATCCTGGGATTCTTCAGTTCCATTTCTAAGGCTTTCCAAAAAGATTCTAGTTTTTTTCAGTTCAAATGTCTGTACTCTAAGCAAAGCTCAGAGAAGCTCCTCTTTCCAAGGCTTGGCTCTCTCCTCAATCACCCACTCCTCTGACAAGAACAGAGTGCCAGTGTGGAACCCAGGGACCCCTGCAGCTCTGAGGAATGTGATCTCTGTGCTGTTGATCCAGGCCATCCGTCTGTTCCTGATCTCTCAGCACATTCTCTCCACGCTCACTCCCCCATTCAGAACAAAGTCGAATTTTGGTTGTGTCTAGAACAGTAGCAAGACCCAGTTTAAGTCTGGATCTAGGCTCAGCACCTGTGGCTCAAGTGGCTAAGGCGCCAGCCACATACATCTAAGGTGGCGGGTTCGAATCCAGCCCGGACCCGCCAAACAACAATTACGGCTGCAACCAAAAAATAGCCAGGCGTTGTGGCGGGCGCCTGTGGTCCCAGCTACTTGGTAGGCAGAGGCGGGAGACTCGCTTGAGCCCAGGAGTTGGCGGTTGCTATGAGCTGTGATGCCATGGCACTCTACCCAGGGGGACAGCTTGAGACTCTGTCTCAAAAAAAAAAAAAAAAGTCTGCATCAACTTCAGACTAAAAATGCATGTCAGAGCATTTTCCAGGGCATGAGGGATATTGGCACATCAGAATCTCCAAAAAGGCAGAGGGGTGGTATTCTCTATCAAGAGACTGCACATCTAGTCTTCCCTCCTACTCCCCCACAAGAATTCATGATTATGATTCTACCAAGTATGCATGGAAACGGTTTGCAGGCAGGGAGAGAAAGGGTTGATACTCATTGTTTTCAAGTAACCTTATTTTGATAAATCCCAAACTGGGATTTATCTCATCACTGAACACCAATTTTGACAAAGCATTACATATTCCTTTTTTTGTGGGTCTCAGATGCCCAGCTGAGCTTAGCGTGACACTGTTGGCTCCTGTTCTCTGCAGCGACCACGTACTGAGCCCAGCGCAGAGGCAGCAAACTGGCAGAGGCTTGCAGATGCCTTTTGTTTGGCCCACACATTCTTTTCAAATGAGAATTAGTTGTCAGTATTTAAAAAGTGAGAAATTTCATATAAAGACCCAGACTTCTAGCTTTTCTTAAAATATAACAGAGGCTATAGGAAATCTGGGCCTGCATTTCTATAAGAGCTGAAGAGTGGCTGCTCCTCTTCACACAGGGCAAGCGGTATCCAGGTCACCTCAGTCCCCACTCTGACCAGCTTCCCTTGTGGACAGTTTTTGCCTGACACTGTAGGCATTTACGTTTATACTGGTGGACCCGAGGCACCTGCTGAGGACTAACAGAACAGGGCTCCTCTTGCTCCTGGGATGAGTCTAGAACCTGGAGACCTGGGAGCTTTGTTCTATTTCAGCAACTGAAATTGGCTAAAAGTAGAAGAATCATTCCTTGTGAGCAGACTAGCCCTGCCTCCTGAAAAGAGCCCTGAGCATACAGGAAAGAGACAAAAGTAAAAGCCCCCCTGCTTCCTGGGGGCTCCTGCTGATTGGAGGAGAGCTGACACTTTTTGCTCACCATAACAGCCTGAAAGTGAGATGCCCATCGCTTTTTTCCTGCCTCTTTTCCTCCAGCTCCTTTCCCTCATTCTCCCATGGCTACCCACACGTGGCGCCCATGCACAAGCTGTTTGCACTATTTTATTCTGTTTTCTCTAGTGTGTGCGCTTTGATGAAGCCTAGCACCAACCCATGCATAACTGGGCTTGTAGAGGCCAGTAGAGCCCTTCTGGTGCCAACAGATACTAGCTAACATCAAGGGAACACAGTAGAAGGGGAAGGGAATAAAGTTCTCATACCCTTCAAAGTTACTGTAAGACTGGCATGCTTCTTTCTAAAACATAGGTTTCTATATGCCTGAGAATCATTAAAACATCTCCAAGAACTACGGAAACTTCCTCAAATGGGAGATCGTGGGAACTCAAATCCTGCAAACCTAGCCTAACCATCCAAATGAAAAGGAAAGATATTTTCTAAGCTCTTATAATTCTAGAAATAAACATTCATATGTATCATTTTAATCCCCACAAAAAGTCCTTGAGAGGAGAATCATTGTGCTGTTTTTATAGGAGCAAACTATAAAACCGTGGGTGACAGATGCTAAGAAAATTGCCCAAGATGACGTATGAAGCAGACCAGCAGGATTCAAACACAAGGCTCTGTCACTCCGGCTCTGTTCATGGGTCACCTTCCCGATTACCCTCTCACATCTCTCTTTATTTTTTTTCAAATCTCTTATCACTACCTATTCCCATATGATTTATTTATTTGTGCATCTGTCTTCTGCCTGTCTCCCCAACAGAATGTTAAGGCCCTGGGGCAGAGGCTCTGTCTTCTCACTGCCATTTCCTTACATGGAGAACAGTGTCTGGTACCTGGTGAGCCCTCAGTGGGTATTTGCTATTGGGAAGAACAGATCTATCTGCCTCAACATGCTGCTGTCAAAGTGTCCCTTCCCTTATCTGCTCTTTCATTCCTTTCCCTTTCTTTCTTTCTTCTTTTTTTTTGAGACAGAGTCTTACTATGTTGCCCTCTGTAGAATGCTGTGATGCCAGCAACCTCAAACTCTTGGGCTTAAGTGATTCTCTTGCCTCAGCCTCCCAAGTAGCTGGGACTACAGCCTGGCTATAGTAGGCCCACCAAAATGCCTGGCTATTTTTTTTGTTGTTGCATTTTTTTTTAGTTGACCCAGGCCAGTTTCAAACCCACCACCCTTGGTATATGTGGCTGGTGCCATAAGCACTGTGCTACAGTTGCCAAGCCCTTTCCCTTTCCTTTCTTTTCTTTTTTTTTTTTGAGACAGAGTCTCACTTTGTTGCCCTCTGTAGAATGCTCTAGCATCATAACTCACAGCAACCTCAGACTCTTGGGCTCAAGTGATTCTCTTGCCTCAGCCTCCAGAGTAGCTATAGCTGGAACTACAGGCACCCACCACAACACCTGGCTATTTTAGAGATAGGGTCTCACTCTAACTCAGGCTGATGTCCAACTTGTGAGCTCAGGTGATCCGCCCGCCTCAGCCTCCAGAATGCTGGGATTATAGGCATGAACCACTGCACCTGGCCATTCCTTTCCCCTTCATGAACCCCAAACACCAATCTCAGAAGTCAAGGAAAACAACGTAGAGATGACAAATGGTTCCTTGTCCTTTCAGTTTATAGGAAAGTCAAATTCCTGAAAATCCAAGAAAACTTGGCTTGTTCCTACAAAGGCAAACTCTTTGTATTGAGGAGGATGCAGTGATTTATTATGGACTTTCTCCCATGAAAGGCAGGAAGGCTCTTTTCATCCCATAAAGTGCTTGGAGAGATAGGATGATGGAACAACACAGGTGAGATTAATCAGAAAGTAAAAGTAGCAAAGAAAGCATCCAAAAAGCACCAACCCTTCTTCCAAAGCTAAAATAGAGCAGTGGTTCCCAAATCTGAATCATCTCAAACACTGGTTCTCCAAGTTGGTCCCAGGCCAGCAACCTAAGCATCATCTCTAAACCTGTTAGAAATCCAACTTCTCAGGCCTCCCAGACCCTACTAGAATCAGAAACTCCAGGGATGGGACCCAGAAATCTGGGTTTTAACAAGGCATTCAGATGATTCTGATGCACACTAACATTTGAGAGTTATTATCCTGGGAAACAAAAATATACAGAAAATACAGATTCTTGGCACTGAAGATCCTGATTCAGAAGAAATGCAATGAGGCCCAAGGATATTCAAAAGCTTCCAAGTTGATTCGGACTCACAGACAAGACTAAACCTGAGCACTCATCTTTTCTAGTCCCAGGACAGTGTCCTTAGCTCTAGACCCACCACTCATCATCCTCCAGTCAGTCACTCACCACACAGAGCAATGATGTGGCTGCTATCTTCATGCACAAACTTCCTGGTGACAGCCTCTTCCATGATTTGTTTCACCTGTGGACACATGAACACTATCATTATTTTTTTTTCTTTTCTTTTTTGAGACAAAGCCTCAAGCTGTCCCCCTGGGTAGAGTGCTGTGGCATCACAGCTCACAGCAACCTCCAACTCCTGGGCTCAAGCGAGTCTCCTGCCTCAG